CACGATGAGTTCCTTGGCGGCTCTTGAGAGGAATTCATTCTTTGCCTGAGACATACTGGTGATCTGATATGGGTCCTCTTGCAGGAGAAGAATATCCACGATGAGTTCCTTGGCGGCTCTTGAGAGGAATTCATTCTTTGCCTGAGACATACCTCTCCATTCAGTTGGTAGATGCGAAGGAATTTTCCGAATGTGCTGGTTGATTAGCCTTGAAAAAGGGCCGTGACATGAGTGTTTCGTCACAAACCGCTTAAGAAATGGCAATAGTAAGAAATTACAGATAGTCAGTACAAGTAGACAAAGCGCTATTAAAGTTGCGTTTTGTTGCATAGGCCTACATCGGTTTGATAACATTAGTATAGAAACAGGGTGGACCACGTGAAGGTTGTCATCTCCCAGTGCCGTGTGTTTGCTCACTATAACATTATTGTATACAGTTTAGGAAAAATAGAGTTCATGTTCTCAGGGGTTGCAAGAACTTGTTATAGAGCAGGCGCCCCCCCCCCCCCCCCTCCGCTCTGTCAATTTGTTTTTCCATAGAAATTCATCAGATATAATGCTACCCCCCCCCCTACTCTGACACCCAAAACCAATGATGCTGGTATTAATATACGCCTGTGCACAAAACACGGACAGAGCCTGCTTGGTTACGAGAGTATTTGTACACTATCCTGTAATATAGTGTTAGACCCACCCCTCCCTCCCCCACTTATTGATTTTACGAATCTAAGTGTCCGGAAAAAAACCAAAGAAAAAACAACCTGTCTACATTTAAGCATTGATCTGCTGATTAAAAACACCTGCAAAAATTCCTGGATCCGCCCCTGAGTAGAGGCGAGATCAGGATTTTTCCCCTTCTGTTTCAAACCAAAGAAGCTTCAGTCTGTATTCATTAATGCGACAATTTTATTAATTATCAATTGAAATAGTTCGTCTTATCTTGAGTCCCGAAATAGTTGTGAGACATCTAGTGAAGTAATTCTCACCAGAATACACCGTATTTATCACACTAGGATTTGCACATTGCACTCATACCTTGCTTAAGCTTCAAAATACCACATTTGGATCTGACTGACTTAGCTATAGGTAGTTTTGTAATGTTTTATTGTGCTCTTTTTTTGTCCCTCTCAGCAGCAACACAGACCAGTCAGGCACCACAAGTGACATGAGCCATACTGCTGGCGATTTCTCATCTTGGGATGGGGAGCCAGACGGAGACTCCGATTCGGACGACGACAGCTCACAGACAGTACAAGAGGATGCTTTTCAATCCCCGGCTGAGCGAGTCGCCCATCAAGGCCTTCCGACCAATCAGCAAGCAACCTATGAACCTCATTGACTTCAAGAATCAGTTCAACAGTACCGGGAAGACCGCATGGACTGGCGTTACCTCACGATCCACTAGTGGGAAAAGGGGGAGGCGTGGCCAGGGGAAGGGTCGCAGAGGGGGAAACGGAAACAAAGAAAGAAAAGGGGGCGATATTTCGAAAAGTAATGGTCCTTCGTTGTTTCGGAAGGTTTTTATATTTTGATTTCTAAGGTTTGTAAGAAAATCTTATTAATTCATGTGAGATCTGCATGATCTAACTTCAGTGTAGGATGGACCTACCACACACACAGTGGCGACATTGCCCAGAAGTGGGATCCTTACAAAGTCACTAGGCGATGTCTACTCCTAGCCTCTTATCATTACTTTCGTTTACAAATAATAATGAATGGATTAAGATTGGTGAGAAAGTAACGATAAAACTCGGTAATGTGGGCAAAATAACATGCAAAATATTCTAAAACGTTTGGATTGTACTCGGTTGCCCGTTGGTATGACATCACAGGTAACATGGTCTGTAAATATCCCTATTTTGTTCAGATCGTAATTGTTTCAGATGTGTAATTGTGTGTTGTATGCATCCCCACACATTTTGGAAACATTTGTGGTAACTTTGTTGAATGTTTTTTTCAAAGAGAGAGGAGGGGTGAACCTTTTAATTAGCTTTGAAAGTTCAACAACATAAGGGCCAGAGTCCCTGAATTGTAGTTAGAAATCGCACCGCCTGGCACCAAGGATGCCCAATATCCAGCCAGGCACATGATCAGTGTACTCTCACGGAGGTTCTCAGTTTAGGCGAATTCATTATACCACCTACTATTTAGGACAATCTACTTGGTGTAATATTTTTTTTTGTTCTGCACAAAATAACACAATTCCTTCGCCATAACTTGAAGGGGGTTGGGCTCTGTGAAAGTAGAGTAATCACCATGACCTATATTTGTCTTCATAAAAATACCCTGATTAAATTTGAGTACGGACAAGGAATTTTCACATACATCCTCCAATCCCCAGGATGTTTGTAATGGTATCGATACCGATCAATTCCAAACATTTTTTTACAAAGCTTGCTTTGTACTAAAAAAAATAAAGTATAGTGGTAGTAAATAAATGTTCTATTGACTATTGGTAGTAATTGTATGGTCGAATATACTTCTGGCCAAAAAGCCCCGAGTTGTTTGGGGTTGTCAATCTTTCTTTTCTTTTTTTTTAAATAAAGATGTAGTCATAGTGTTATGACAATGTTCACAATAAAATAAGCATGCTTTGTTCTATAAAATTAAATACACAGAAGTGGTGAAGGGATCCCTGTTTAAATTCTCCATTGATATGTGATTTCATATGCAGCAGTTGTGGGTCTATTGCCAGGGGTTGATTGTGGGCACCCAACCTCGTTCCCATGGTGTCGAGCAGTGGGTCCCACCACTACCTGCTCGCACCCTGGTACTGGATCATTTGCATGTTCAAAAAATTTCGCTGGTATCCTCGCTGTGCAAACAGGACGCTTGGAAGGGCTGATCTCTTTGAGCTATCATTGGATAGATTTGCGTGACCTGTGACGTAGCACGCAACACTCACACACTCGCTGCTGCTGTTTATCATATGATACGTAGCGCTGCATCACTTGAAAATAGCATGTACATGTACGTTTTTAACCTGACGTATGTGCTATGCATGGTTTACTATAGGCACAGACCGTGCGCCACCCAGACTTGGGCCAAGTCTACCTTTCCCAGCGCCCTGTTTGCAGGGCGGGGGGTACGAGCGAAATGCAAATGAGGTACGGAATAATCTGGTGCCTGGCTGTACTTTAAATCAGTGTTTGTTTTTGCATGAATTCGTCGCGGGGTCGAGATCCAAAAATATACAGTAAACTCCGGCTAAACCGGCACTCTCGGGACCCGAGAATTTGTGACGACTTACGCGAATGCCGAAATATGATATAAGTCGTCATTTTGCCGACTTACATGAATGGTCTTTTGCACACATGATTCATTGCACTAATTGGCTTCGATTTACCCTGGATTATCTCCTTAATGCTTGAGTTGAAGGAACAGTTGGGTACCTTGAATCATCCATTAGTTGGGTAAATGTAAAGAAGGAACAGTTGGGTACTTTGAATCACCATTAGTTGGGTAAATGTAAAGAACCAATTGGTGGTAAGCCATTAACCGAAAAATGGTCAATAATTTTGACACGTTGTTGGTTAGTTTTTTTTCTCAATTATTGGGTACTAAGAAGACTCAGATGTTGGGTACTACATTTTATAGATTTGCTCAATTTTAGGGCAATTTTGTTGACCAATAATTGGTGTTTGCAGAATGCCTAAATAAGGGATACCTTTAAAGCGAGGCTTTTTTTTTCTTAAATTATATTTTATTACAAACATCATCAAACAGCAAACATTTGAACACTTTTGAACACTTTTAAATTGAAAAGTTTAAAGCAAAACCTGTAAAGCATTTAAAGGAGAGTTGAACACAGTACCGAAGTTTTTTTAGCAATCATCATTTTAAAATACGATTTTTCAAAGAAATCATTAAAATTACATCTGTAAAGTTTCCCTTGACCAATTGACAATGATAGGTTGATGACTTGGTGTTCAATTAACACAAAATGTGAATCAAATCAAGACGGCATTTCCAAAAAAAAATACGTTCATGACTTGCGGTGCTCAAATATTTCAGAATCACATAGAACTCAAATCAATTCATTATGTTTAGAAAAATATAGGCCTACACATTGATGATTTGATGTTCAATTATTTCAGAATTAAATATAACTCAATCAAGACAACATGTTCAAAACAGTTCACGTCAATGACTTGGTTTTCAATTACTACAGAATTAAATACTAACTGAAATCAAAACAGCATGGTCTCAAAAATATATGTTGATGACTTGGTGATCAATTATTTCAGAATTAAGTATAATTCAATTCAAGACAGCATTTTGTAAACAAAGTAAACTAACGATGATTGCATTCTGTTACAATTCAAACTGTTTGAAATTATGCTTGATATTGGAATTAGGTCCTTTATATGCAAAATGGTAGATGCGTCTCATGGTAGCATGAGTGCACCCCCATTATTTGTTGGCTTGGAGTCTGTATTTGTCTCATAAACTGTAAATTTATCTTAAAAACATGTCTATCAATCATGAGGCATTTTAACCAAAATATCTAGCACTCTATATTTGTGGAGGATACATTCATTTGTGAGCTGATTTTTGAAATACGATTTTCAAAGAGATTATTAAAATTAATCCGCAAGGTTTTCTTAATTAACTGACAATAACAAATATTGATGACTTGATGTTTCAAGTACTACAAAATATAAATATAACTTAAATCAAGACAGCTCAACAAAAATGTCACCTAACGATGATTGCCTCTTGTTACTGTGGGGATTTGATAATGATGACTAGTTGCCCCTTTAATGATAGCGCAGCGTGCTCCTTTAATAGGGAGTTGCCGCCGCAAAGTGCTCTGCACGGTCTAATCAAAGATGTCCGTGCGCCGTTGGAAAATAGACCCACACTTTACTTCAAATAACTACGAGATCTTTTGTATTAATTGATTTTGTAATGATTCTATTATGTGGGGTAGTTAAGGAAATCCCAATTTATCTAGTTTCAAGGGGATATATTTCATACTAGGCTCTCTTTCATTGTCACTGCAGCAGCTGTGCAGTGAGTTTGTCTTAAGTTTATTAATTTTCTTAACAAGTTTTTCATAGTTTAAATTTAGAATTCCATTTTTTAGAGTATTACTGCATATTTAGTGAAAGAGCCTACAGTTAATGTTCACCTTATAATAGTGAAAGAGCCCACTTATGTGTTACATTAGTAACCTCCTTCCCACCACCAGAGTGACCTTGTGCACTTCCCATGTGCATACAGAGACCTTGTGTGGGTACAAGTACCACATAATCTTGCCACATAAACAATGGGCAGCCATATTTACTGACCATGTGATTTCAGAGACAAGTGTTTTCATACTCATTGCGATTTAGTTCTTCAAGTTTCATCACTTTATTCACTCTTTGTGGACCTTGAAAGACCCCATTTTGGTAAGAAGCATTTTCCTTGATTTTATGAGTTACTTTTAATAAGTTTAGAGACAGAATTCAGTGGATTTTCTGAGATTTTACAGTTGATTATTCATTCAGCAAAAAACAGATTGAACTGCAAATAGTGTTTAGATTTGACAAATCAGACTTCACATTTTTTGGACTCAACTTGCCATGTTTAATAGAATAGACTTTTCCATGTACATTTATTATAGTTTTCTTATTAGTGTTTTTTCTGCTTTATTAAATTGCAGATTGTTATCTCAATCTCAATCTACTATCAGCAATCACCACCATGTTGTCAAGTGGCTTCATTGTGTTTTGTGTGTGGTTCCTGGATTGATTGCGAATACCAGTCACTTGGGAGTCCTTTTCTCATAAGTTTGAGAACTATAGTCCGAAACTCCTCTGGGCACAAGTGAGCCCCGAGGCAGCCACAATAACAATCAAAGTCACAACCAAAGTCCAGTCGTTCCAGAGCATGCAGAGTGAATAAACCCACGTCATGTCGTTACCAATCCAGTCGTCTTCTAGTCATAAGTTTGACGAGTCAAAGAAGAGTAACGCCGGTCGAGCAGCAAGTCACGCTGGTCATGTGTCGTCTTACAAGTCAAGTAAGAGTTCCAGTCGAGCCAGTCATGCCGTGTCCGTTACATCATCATATGCACGGCATCAGGAAGAAAAGCTGGAACTAGCGAAAACAGCGGCTGCTCTGCAGGTCCAGCTAGACTTTGCAGAGAAAGAAAAACAGCTGAAACTCCTGGAGTTGGAGGCGGCAAAGAAAGTGGAGGAAATGAAGATCGAGAGAGATAAAAAGTTAGAACAACTTGAGATAGAGAGGAAATTGGCCGAAACCCGAGCTGTGATGGAGGTGTACTCATCGCTGGAGCGGGATGACAACAGTTCAATATCATCAGAACTGTCCGGCATCCCCGCCGACAAACATGAACATATGCAGAGATTCCTCAACTCGCATCAAAGTGATCACCCCCCTCCACTGTGTCCATCTGTGCCCCAAAGTGAAAGCGCATATGTGGACAATGCGTCACTCCAACCAGTTGCCATGGTTACATCAGCCAATCAGAACAGATCTGATGAACAGTCCAGTGCACATCAGTCTCATCACCAAAGTGAAGGAGGACGGATGACGATGTCGTCGGCACTTGAGAAGTGCATTACACAGTTGGCCGAGTCCAGTAGACAACAGCGTGATGTAAACAAACGCCTTGTTGCATCTAGCCAGCTACCAAAGATAGCCATCCCCCAATTCAACGGTGATCCACTACAGTACCCCCTGTGGCGGAACTCCTTCAATTCCCTTATCGACAGCCAACCCCTTGACGCCGACACCAAGCTTAACTACCTCAATCAATATGTGACGGGGAAACCAAAGCACCTAGTGGAGCACTACATGCTCATCGGCACTGAAGAGGCCTACACGCAGGCAAGAAAAGTATTGAACGAGAGGTACGGAAACAGTAGTGTAGTGAGCACTGCTTTCATAAGCAAACTCCGTCAGTGGACGAGGTTAACGCCGAGGGATGCAGCAGGCTTGAGAGATTTCTCTGATTTTCTGGGGAAAGTAGAGGCAGCACGAGCAACCACAGCAAGCCTTGGAGTGCTGGACTACGCCAGTGAGAATGCTCGTCTAGTCGAGAAACTGCCATTCAACCTCGAGACAAAGTGGCGGGACAAGATTGACTATTGGAGACAGATCCGTGGTCAGGATTCCTTCCCCCCATTCAGCGAGTTTGTCAAACTCGTGAAGATTGCAGCAGACAGGGCAAACATTCCGGAGTTGCAGAGCGTGGTTCGAAGTCAGGACAAACAACGTTCAAATGCAGGAAGTGCTCCGAAAAAGAACACCAGTGTTTTTGCGACTAGTACCAGTCGAGGTGAACCAACAAGCAGAGTGCAGTTGTCCAGTGACAAGAGCTGTCTCTTCTGCAATAAGCGTCACCTCCTGGATGACTGTGAGCGCTTTCTGCGCAAGCCTTTCGCTGAGCGAAAGGATTTCTTCTTCAAGAAGAGACTGTGCATGGGCTGTGCACGTTCCAGTGATCATCAAGTGAGAGAGTGTAACGACAAAAAAGTTTGTCGGATCTGCGCTGGTGCCCATTTGACCTGTCTCCATCGCAACTTCCAACAGAGACGGCCATAAGAAACTGCTTCAAGTAACCCCCAGTCAGCAGCGGCAAGTAAACAACCAGCTGACAAAGTCCCAAACAATTCATCCCCACCCAAAGAAGTCATTGCTGTGCACCCCAAACGAGATGAGGGAATGTCCAACTGTATCCAAGTGTGTTCCCAACCAGACCAAGAAGGAGAAGGTGACCACTCCATGATTATACCAGTGTTGGTTCGTAGTGAGAGTGATCCAGCGAGGGAGTTCCTCGAATATGCCATCTTGGACGAACAATCCAACAGTTGCTTCGTGTCAAAGAGTTTGTGTGAAAAGATGAACCTGCAGGGACCAGAGACGCAGTTGTTGCTGAGTACAATGCAAGAACAAAACGTCCGCATCAGCAGCAGTCGAATATCCGGGCTTGAAGTGCTTGATGTCAGTAGAGAACACACTGTTAAACTTCCAGTCTGCTTCGAGAGGGATTGCATTCCAGCCAAGAAGTCTCAGATACCGAAGCCTGCTGTCGTGCATCATTGGCCCCACCTGAAGTCTCTGGCAGATAAACTCATGCCCTATGATCCAACCCTGCACATCTCTCTTCTCATCGGAAGCAATTGCCCAAGAGTGGTTAGACCCAGAGAAATCATCGCCGGTGGAGAGGATGACCCCTACGGCCAGAGGTCACTACTAGGCTGGGGAGTAATTGGGAACGTTTGCAAGGCTGCACGACAAACCAATGACCAACCTGCAGTATGCAACAAAGTGGTTGCTGCTGAACCACAAAGCTACCAACACTTCGTCTATGGTACGAGGGTGAAAGAAGTCTTAAACCCAGAGAAAGTTCTCAAGGTGTTGGAATCCGACTTTGTCGAGAATCATCAGAGGAAGCCATACTCAGTAGAAGACGAGAAGTTCCTGAGCGTGATGGAAAAAGGAATAAAGAAAGCATCCGATGGCCACTACGAAATGCCACTACCACTGAAGTCTGACGCTGCGACCCTGCCTAACAACCGCCAACTTGCAGTCAAGAGATGGAATCAGCTGTCCGCCAGATTCCGAAAGAATGTGAAGTTTCGTGAAGACTACAGGGAGTTCATGAAAGATGTTATCCCAAAGTGTGCAGAGAGAGTCCCCCTAGACCAACTGGAAGTTGATGAGGGAAAGGTAAACTATGTGCCGCACACAAGAGTCTATCACCCCAAAAAGCCGGACAAGATAAGAGTGGTGTTCGACTGTTCAGCCAAATATGGAGGCGTTTCACTCAACGACCATCTCCTTCAAGGTCCTGACTTGACCAATGGTCTTCTCGGTGTTCTGTGTAGATTCAGGAAAGAAGAAGTGGCCTTTATGGTTGATGTGAAGAGCATGTTCCATCAGTTCTATGTAGAAGAGAAGTACCGTGACCTGCTGCGATTCCTATGGTGGGAAAATGGTGATCCAGAGAAGCCAGTGGTCGAATACAGAATGAAAGTTCACGTGTTTGGGGCCGCTAGCTCACCAGGCTGTGCCAACTTCGGGCTGAAGAGAGCAGCAGATGACGGAGAGGATGAGTTTGGAGCAGAGGCAGCAAACTTCATTCGTAATGATTTCTACGTAGACGATGGACTGAAGTCACTACCCACAGTGGAAAGAGCATCATTACTGATCAAAGCCAGTCAGAATCTGTGTGGAAAAGCTGGGTTGAAACTGCACAAAATCATCTCCAACAAAAGAGAGCTGTTGGAAAAATTCCCAGCAGAAGAGCGAGCCAGTGGTACAAGGGAACTAGATCTGAAGGTTGATGTACTACCAATGGAAAGAGCCCTGGGCGTCACTTGGTGTGTCGAGAGTGACACCTTTCAGTTCCATATTGAGTTGAAAGATAGACCATTCACAAGACGAGGCATACTTTCAACTGTAAGTTCGATCTATGACCCAAATGGCTATGTGGCTCCAGTAACCCTCAGAGGGAAGAGAATTTTGCAGCAGATGTGTCGCGACAAACTTGATTGGGACAGTCCAGTGCCAGAGATGCTACAACCTGAGTGGGAGAAATGGCGTTTAGAGGTTCTCGGCTTAGAGAAGATCCAAATCCAGCGATGTTTTAAGCCCAAGGATTTTGGAACTGTGACAGCAGTTGAATTGCATCATTTTTCCGATGCAAGCCAAGATGGTTATGGTCAGTGTTCCTACCTGCGACTAGTCGATGAGAACAATAAGGCACATTGTTCCTTTGTAGTCGGTAAGTCCAGAGTGGCCCCTCTGAAGCTCGTCACCATCCCCCGGCTAGAACTTGCAGCAGCAACTGTCTCAGCAACTGTGAGTGAATTCCTGCGACGAGAGCTATGTTACGAGATGCTCCACGAATATTACTGGACAGACAGCAAGATTGTTTTGGGATACATAAACAATGAAGCAAGACGATTCCATGTCTATGTTGCTAACAGAGTGCAGCAAATCAGAAGTCTGACTAACCCAGAGAGATGGATGTACGTAGACACCAAAGAAAATCCTGCTGACGAAGCATCACGTGGTCTGACAGCAAAGGAACTTATAGAGAAGTCCTGCTGGTTATCCGGTCCAGATTTCTTGCAGAAGGATGGCCCCTTTCAACCCCAGCCAGCCGTAGTTGCACCACTGAGTGAATCAGACCCAGATGTGAAAAGAGTCTCAGCTTTCGTGACAACAGCTGAGAACAACGCACGACATCATCACTTCGAAGTGAGCCGACTTGATTGCTTTTCATCCTGGAATAGAGCTTGCAGGGCAGTCGCTCTTTGTCTGAGGTTGAAGACAAAGTTGAGGAACAGAGTAGTGAAGAAACCATGTGAAGGGAAAGTTTGTTCCACTCCTGCGAAGCAAGCAATCACTGTGGCAGAACTACAGAATGGAGAGATGGAAATCATCAAAAATGTTCAGCATGAACATTTCAGTGTCGAGTTACAGGCCCTACAAGAACTTGGTGTAATCGGGCAAGTCACCGATGGAAAGACTGCAAGAGTGAGAAATGACTACCTGAAGAAGACGAGTTGTCTGTACCGGCTAGATCCCTTTCTAGATGTCGATGGCATCATCCGAGTGGGTGGCCGTATTGCCAGATCTGATCTTCCAATTGAAGCTAAGCATCCAGCCGTTCTCCCTTACAAAGGTCATGTCACCCAGTTGTTGATTCGCCATATTCATGAGAAAGTGAATCACATGGGCAGAGGAATGACACACAACGAGCTACGTCAGAGAGGGTACTGGGTGATTGGTGGTTCATCAGCTGTGTCCAACTACATCTCAAGATGTGTGACCTGCCGCAAACTGCGTGGATCGCTGCAGCGACAGAAGATGTCTGACCTACCCGTAGATCGACTAGAGCCAGCGCCCCCATTTTCCTATTGCGCTGTGGACTACTTCGGTCCATTTTTGGTGAAGGAGCGTAGGAGTCAAGTGAAACGTTATGGTGTCCTGTTCACATGTATGGCGTCTAGAGGTGTTCATCTAGAGACAGCAAATTCCTTAACGGCAAGTTCTTTCATCAATGCCCTTACAAGATTCCAGAGCAGGAGAGGACCTGTACGTCAACTGCGTTCAGACCAAGGTACAACATTCATCGGTGCTCGGAGTGAGCTGAGAGAAGCGCTAGCTGAGATGGAGCAGGACAGAGTCCACCAGTACCTGTTAGAGAGCAACTGTGACTGGATTCCCTTCAAGCTGAACACACCGCATGCCAGTCACATGGGAGGCGTGTGGGAGAGACAGATAGGTACAGTACGCCGTGCACTAGAGGGTCTTCTTCTTAAAACCACGACACAACTGGATGATGAATGTTTCAGGACCTTCATGACTGAGGTAGAAGGCATCATCAATTCACGACCTCTAACGACAGACTATCTCTGCTCATCAGACGCACCAGAGCCATTGACACCCAATCATCTGTTCACCATGAAACCCAAGGTGGTTCTGCCTCCGCCTGGAAAGTTCCAGAAGGAAGATGTCTATGCCCGCAAATGGTGGAGACGTGTCCAGTTCTTGACCAATGAGTTTTGGGTGAGATGGAGAAAGGAGTTTCTGCACCATCTTCAAGAGCGCAAAAAGTGGGTCAATCCAGTAAGAGATCTACAAGTAGGTGATGTCGTGATCTCCAAGGAAGGTGAGCAGACCAGGAACCAGTGGCCACTGGGACGCGTAGTGGAGACCTACCCGAGCAATGACGGAAGAGTCAGGTCAGTGAAGCTCTTGATGGCCGATGGCACACGAGACAACCTTGGCAGACGGCAACACTCTCCATCACTCCTTGACAGACCAGTACACAAGCTTGTCCTGTTGGTACCCGCAGAGAAGCCTGAAGCTCAAGAGACCAGAGAAGTCCCCACCGAAGAGCCAAACTGAAGATCCTGCCAGAAGAGACCCACTGCTGACGACAATCTATTTAGTTTATGAACTTTACATTTTAACTGTTCTTGTTACTCATTAGTATGTAGATACCAATTTATTGAGCCAACACTAGTCTGCATCTGAGGAGCAGTGCGTGCGAGACAAGATGACCACCAAGATGAAGGGACATTTTCATGGACATTAATCTTTGAAGTTCAGGTTTGATTTTAGTTTGTTAACTGCGAGATGCAGTTAGAGGAGCCATGTCACTGCAGCAGCTGTGCAGTGAGTTTGTCTTAAGTTTATTAATTTTCTTAACAAGTTTTTCATAGTTTAAATTTAGAATTCCATTTTTTAGAGTATTACTGCATATTTAGTGAAAGAGCCTACAGTTAATGTTCACCTTATAATAGTGAAAGAGCCCACTTATGTGTTACATTAGTAACCTCCTTCCCACCACCAGAGTGACCTTGTGCACTTCCCATGTGCATACAGAGACCTTGTGTGGGTACAAGTACCACATAATCTTGCCACATAAACAATGGGCAGCCATATTTACTGACCATGTGATTTCAGAGACAAGTGTTTTCATACTCATTGCGATTTAGTTCTTCAAGTTTCATCACTTTATTCACTCTTTGTGGACCTTGAAAGACCCCATTTTGGTAAGAAGCATTTTCCTTGATTTTATGAGTTACTTTTAATAAGTTTAGAGACAGAATTCAGTGGATTTTCTGAGATTTTACAGTTGATTATTCATTCAGCAAAAAACAGATTGAACTGCAAATAGTGTTTAGATTTGACAAATCAGACTTCACATTTTTTGGACTCAACTTGCCATGTTTAATAGAATAGACTTTTCCATGTACATTTATTATAGTTTTCTTATTAGTGTTTTTTCTGCTTTATTAAATTGCAGATTGTTATCTCAATCTCAATCTACTATCAGCAATCACCACCATGTTGTCAAGTGGCTTCATTGTGTTTTGTGTGTGGTTCCTGGATTGATTGCGAATACCAGTCACTTGGGAGTCCTTTTCTCATAAGTTTGAGAACTATAGTCCGAAACTCCTCTGGGCACAAGTGAGCCCCGAGGCAGCCACATTCATTAAGCTATGTTTATGTAAACAAAGCGCACTGATACATAAGTTTGCCATCGTTCGGTCTCTTTCAGCGTCGCTTTGACAAAAGTCAGAAGGACATCTCTGGTGAGGGTCTCTTTTTATTCTCTTTTAGTCTTTAGAAATACTTTTTCAGATCTGTTGATATAATACGTGTGTCCGCAATAATTGTGTGAATCATGGGGAGATATTTTGGTGGGCACATAGTTCCCAAAAAGGGCCAAAATCCAATGTTTGCTGACGCTATGCTCGGGCCAAAGAAACACAATGGCGACTTGTGTACTACATGTACTAATGTTTCCGTGTAGCTCGCACGTACGCTGTACGCAGTGTACAGCCGCGCAGTATGCGTGGCTTGGGACAGCTTTGCAAGTCGTAGTGCTGTATCAGGGGGTTTATAATTAAAACATAGTGTATGATATTCATATGGTGTCACATCAGAATCCCTGCCTTCTTATTTAATTGCTCACAAGTAGGATCTTTACATTTAATAGTTTTGACCATATTTTTCAGTCTATTGCTTGGACTATTCTGTAACAAAGTGGGGACCTCGACTGAAAAAGTGTAACGTAGGCTATCCATATTATTTCACAGTTTGAGGGAAGCGAGGCGAGAGCCAGCCCTGGCCGGCTGTTTACATTGACAAGAACGAGTGTTGGGTGAGTGCACCTAGTCTGCACGCCTTTATAATTGTCCATTATTATTAGGGAATTAAATTCAAAGGTTATGTTGATTGTTTCTTTATACTGAAGTCTGTATAATTTAGTTAAACTTTTAATATGATTGTGTAATTGTTCACAGGGGTAATAAATTAGACGCAAAATAAAAACATCTGAACCACCGTCCTGGTCTGTGTGTGAGTGACGTTCCGTCGAATTATCTGCTCTCCCTTACCATCTCTGGGAACAACTTCCCCTCCCGTCGATCTTCATTGGTTGGCAACCTATATCTCCATGGCAACGTGGGATTACTACATTACAATTCATATGACATTGATGGCCTTCATCAGAGACTGCTGTGGTAAATCCCGTTTCTTGATTATCACAAACACACCCGTTGGCTCCAGCACAGGTTAGCTGCACAAGACTAGCACGTAGGGCTGAGGTGTTTTGTCTCATCAATGATGTCCACATATGTTGGCTTATGTTTGATGTCCTTCATGAAAAGAAAAGTCAAAGAAAGACAAAACATTTCGATTAAATAAATTTCAACAACTTCAAGTAGCCCAATCGCAACCCCCCCCCCCTTGAAAAAAAATCTAGCAAATGGGAAAAAAAGGCACTGCGTAAACCCGTGTTAAGCATGCATGGAACAAAATGGCCTCTGTCTCATTTTAATTAAAACAATACTATTTAACCATTTTTCAGGCATTTACTTTGCCCATGTGTGTTGGGAATGAAATGTTCCCAACTTTCTGACATATGTTTTCTTCAAAACGTTGGGCAGAAATTGTTTCCAATGTTTCTGGACACTTTTTTTCTACAATTATCCGTCCATCCACTTATTCACCTTAGGTTTTGAGAAACCTGCCTTAGTTTTAAATCAAACTCAAACTCCTCATTGGACTTATATTTATGTTCAACAGTACAATATAAGAGACATGAAATAGCAATCCCAACGATTTCTGTATAACTGTTACTTTTGTGTGACATTGTATCGTATGTAGACTAGTGTACATGTCTGTGGCCAACACGTACGTAATTATGGGCCTGAAATTTGCTATAGGCCTACCTCCAAGATGCGACGATTAGCATTCTGAATAAACTCGCACATTACAGTTATTTTAGCTTCTTAATTATCTTGGAAACACGAAAACTGATTTCTTACCCAGATATGTACTACTCAGGTCCGACAGCCCACATTCTCTTAACAAATCTTCCTCCACCGCCAATCATCTCGCGAGCTATGCTGATATATGGCCGGCCTGCCAATAACAGTGCACTGCAACGTTAGCTAAAAATGCCCTCTATAGTGTAAAAATTCCCAACATTTTTGGGGAAAATGTTTTTAATTAGTAAGTTTATCAAACCATCAAATAGACACCAAATAAATGGACAACGTTTGTCCAAATCATAGAAATTCTGATTGGACCAATGTTGGTCACCGTGCTTTTTAACCCAACTGAAACTTTTATCCATTTTGTTGTGGGGAAATTGCCCAACAAATGTTTGCCCAGCGCGCATTTACCCAGCATTTTTAACAGTGTAGGGGTCCGATTTTCATAGGAGTCGGATTTTCATGTGACACCGGAACCACCTTCAAATGTTGTTTTCTTGTGAACACACTGAGAGGCGGAACAATCCATGCGGTATTTGATTGTAGTCCCGGACTAATACTTTGAGCAAAGTTTCTGTCATTAAATCGGTAGGTTTCTGCTATTAAATCGGTAGGTTTCTGTCATTAAATCGGTGGGTTCAACCATTGAAGGTATAGTTGCAAAATAAATGCCCGTGCTCAGAATGTTTTTATTGTTCACTGTTCATTGTTCATTTATTTTTTACCTGCATTAGCAACGGAATCCGATAACGAGACCCCCAACAGGCTTAGTTGCTATGCAGCCTGGCAAAGAGTTTGAGCACTTTTGTTGCTGAAACGGGGGGGGGGGGATGAGTTTTGAACAGTCACTAGCGGGACTTTTTAACAAGTTAAGTCCTATATGGGAACGCTGCTGCTGTTGAAAGAATCTATGAATCATAAAAGTGAACCGTAGGCTGGGGCGTATATTGTATGCTGTAACTATACCTATAACTATATGATGGGAAGGGCATGTATGACGTCATTGTGACGTCATCAGCTAATTATTACATGAATAAATATAAATTGATAATAATCTTCAGAACTACAAGCATCACAGCAACAAATGTGGTATCAAATTAAAGGGGACAACAAGATCTTTTATTTGAGTGGTATGGCATAGGGATGGAATATAGTTAAGGGTGAGTTTGTGGGTCAAAAAAACCTTTTATGGTCAAAAACCAGTTTTTCGGCTAAAATCTCGGATTTTGGGGTAGTCACTTTGACACCTTGTTTTAAAATGCAAACAGTATGTGGTATTAATAAATACCTTGGAGAGTTGATGGTTTCTGATTGGTCGAGACTCGATCACGTTGCCGGTCATTAACGGTGATAATGGACCGGCTTCAAATATCAAGCGAATAAATGGCCCCTGAACCAGCATTGATCCAGCCCCGTTCAGCCCCATGCAAGCGAATGATTGGCCAAAATATAGTAACAGTCCTGCGGTAGCTTTTAACAATTGAGCACTGCACATGCGCTCAACCCCCATCGCGTGAGACTGACGCGCGCGTACGCAACACAGTTGCTAGGGATGCGTGCGTGCGCGCGCATAATAAAGTTTTGAAACGACATCGTACAGCAGTGCAGAATATACTGAGGATGTTTACGACGAAAGCGTAGATCTACGATTTATTTTCTTTGAACACTTCACCCACCGACATATTTACCTTTCCTAAACCAAGCATCTTTGTAACAGCAGTTTCTGTTGAGTTTACGTCGTTAACGTTGTTAAGCTAAAATATGGCCCATGAACATGAACACAAAAAAGTCTGGAAATATCGCCGAAAGAAAGTCACAAAATTGGAGCATTTTAACTGTTTATTTCGTTATAAAGGTATTTATTAATGGGAATAACAGTGTGAGGATCCGGTCTTCACTGCGTGATAATGACCGGGTGTTGGGGTGACCGCTGTTAATGGACCTCGACTTCGTCTCGGTCCATTAACATGACAGCGGTCACCCCAACACCCGGTCATTATCACGCAGTGAAGACCGGCTCCTCACACTGTTATTCCCTTATTGTGAGATGTTGTTAAGTCAGAGAGAAAGGTTCAAATTCTATGCCAAAAGAGTAGTTGTAATTAATTATTAGCATCTTAAATGTTTAAACTTGTTTCAAAGATAGGCGGAAAAGTGAGGTACCTGAGTGAAAAAATCGTGACACGGGTGGACAAAAGCACCATTTTCACACCAAAGCATCTCCTGGTGTACCTTTTCGAAAAAACGTAGGATGCAAAAAATTGGATGATGGGAAGGGCCATTTATGACGTCATTATGACGTCATCGGCTAATTATTACACACTTATACATTACAATTGAGAAATTAGTGAGGAATAAGCCATTGGCCCTTTTATTTACCTTTAATATACGTTTCTGAGATCAAGGAAATCAATGCAGTTGCCAATTTTGTTCTTAGACTATCTTTAAAAGATTTAAATACAAATAGTTTGATAAAATGAGGGATGTTTCCTAATTTAACATATTAAATTAAACACGTGTGTACATGTACATTACACCCTCGCTCCTATCCCCTGTTGTGATCAATGATTATGTCTTATGTCATGATTACCTCATAAATGATTACCTCAAGAATGATGCCACAAGGCATTATTTTCCACAAAAGTTTCTATATACTGTCCCTTCGGCTCCGTATTCTACATCAACTGGCAATGCATTTATTGCCCTAAACCCTTCAACATTTGCCAGAAATTGAGCATATACTTCTCCGGCGTTACAATTTAAACCTTTTTGTGGACAACGTAGTGTTTCTGGTGTAGTTTGCATGCAGATAATGCAAGCAGTCCAATTATTTTTTATGTTTTCCCCAGCTTTAAAAACAAAACACAAGTAGACCCCCTTCTTTAAAAAAAAGATGCGTTCATGTTGTCTTTTCTTGTCTTACGAAAACCTTCTCAAAATAATGTCAACAACCGTTTTGACGTCAGAAAAGTTTATGACGCTTCTGCTGTAGTTGTATTTATATATTAAATAATAGTACTTACAATCGCTATATTTAAAAGGAAACCTCCGGTATTTTTTTTCTTCTCGACACTCGGCACGTTCCTTTCGCGGTGGTGGAAAGTACATGCGTCAGACATGCAACAATGGTAGACTGGTTCCCGCATGGCGCTATGAGTTGTGTTTAATGATCGAATTGAGTAGTGTTTAATGATCGAATTTTGACATCGTAATAGTGACAACAAATCGATGGAAAAGTTAATTTCTGGGAGATAATTTACAGAACTTTATTTCTCTTTTCTGTGTAACCTTTTTTTGTAAGTTTTCATGTTTATTTCGAGTTCGTACCGCTCGTACGTGAAGCGAAACAGCGCAGTATAATACGAATTTTCCGCCGCCGAGCGATGCGGACATGCGCGTGGTGTGATGTGGTGCACATGGCAGCCTATGCACGCTGATACCGCGCGTGATGATATGATACGGACCGTGCATACTAGCAAGTGTCCATGAAGCCATTGTCACTTCATCTCTCCTACGTTGCTGAAGTTGTGTATAATGCAACTTTTTTCCAGTCTAGGTTTCAGTGTAGATCACACATGAACAGTCTCCTTTGGAAAATAAGACGTCTCTTTTTGCCGTTTTCTCCTTGGTGAAAATGACCTGATGGTTTTGCCACTTAATCAGTCTTGCTTTTTGTCTTTAGCGTCATTTTTGTTTCCAATCTTTCAACTTTGACCAAAAAAATTATCCTTACCAACCCATTTACATTGTACTAACAAATCAAGCTTACCCGACCTGACCCTTCTTCATCTAACTAGAAACAACTAAACCCAAAACAAGATATGAGAAAAGCCAAGACAACAAGAGCAAGGTGTTTTTACGGTTGTGAATGGATATTGGGAAAACCGGTTCAAAGTGACCACCTTAACATTTTACCCTGAACTATATTTGGCACACAGCCAAGGCAAGCTATCTATAGCTTTGGAAACATTGCACTATACGTGTATTTACAGACAGAGTTTACCACAGTGTTTTTTTCCACATAATGGTACAGATTTAGACAACTTCAGCGTTCCCAAACAACTGATGGTTTCAATTTCACAATTATGAAACTGGCTGACCTCTGTTCGAAAATACTTGTATAAACAAAGATGCTGGGCCTGTCTTTCATATTGCTTGGTATCTGCTTGATGGTATATTTGATAACGTT